ATTTACTGGCAGGCCGAATATGAATTAGACCTGTGTTTAGGGGGATTTCGAACCGCGTTCCTCAACCATATAACGTCTACCGACTTAGCGAGTGTCAAATCGATTTTTTTCACTCTTACCTTATTATAAGATAACAAAGATAGGAAAAGGGTAAAAAAAGCAACATAATAATAATAACTGATAACACAAAATTACTCTTTCTCCTGACCAACTCTCCATACACACACACAGAAAAAAAATACGTCATATAAACCTCCTTTTGTACATAACACGACAATAAAAATTCAACCGATTTTGTGCCTTAGACCTCTTTTTATCGTTACCTCTTTTAAGTACAAACTACAATAGATATATAAATAATATTCACAAATAAACTAAAAACAGACCTACCGAAGAGGCCTACAGAAGAATAGTATAAATCCTATGAATTTAACTTATTAGATCGATAAATACGAAAACAGATGGCGCGCGAGATTTAAATTTTCGCCGCTACCCGTTCAGAGTTCTTGTAACTGACACCACTGGACAGCGGCGCCACCGGTTCCGGCGTTGCCGTAACCACAGCGGACTCGGGCGACATTACCATGCCCTGATTGGAGGAATCGTCGTAGCCAGAGTCCGAACTGCTGTCGCTGTACAGTTTGGCCGCGGTACAGGGCAGAGGCACCTGAGTGGGAGGTACTTGAGTCGGCGCTTTCGATTTCCAAAGGGCTAGGCGTGCCACGCAGGGCTTTAGGTGGCTCGGGTCGACCATGATCTCGTCGTTGCGGCCGCGGAATATCGTACCACAACACACGGCTTCCCTGAAAGAGAATAGACACAATATTATTTTATTTTTTATTTATAGAAAGATTTTTTTTTATTTAGGGAAAGACCAAAGAGTACAGAAACGTAGAAGAGAATAGAAAGACAGAAGAGTATAGAAAGACTTAAGAGTATAGAAATAATATAAAAAAATATAGAGAGTATATTGGGTACGCCTCAAAAGTGGCTCACCCCTATAACTTTTTTATTTTTTTTAGATAAAAAAACGAGATTTATTATAAGACATAAATTAGGATTGATGGACGTATTCAATTGTTTTTTGTCACTTCCTGTTTCACCGGAAATGGCTACAGCTTTTGATTTTTAAATGGCATCCTCGGTATATTTTTACTTTATTCGATAAAAAATAACACTCTGAATAGAATGACATATCAACTTTTGACATTTTCGCTTAAAAAAATTGTGTTATAAATTTCAATCTAGAGTGCCATGGCTGTGTTAAAAACACTAATTTTTAATCAAGAGGCCTTGCAAAAATAGATTTTATCGTCTAATGTTTTTCGTGTCTTATCCTGACCGATTAAAAGATGCCCAAATCGTATTTTTAATCATATCTCAATTTTTTCAAATTGAACTGGGTGGCTCATTAGCATATTTGGAAAAAGCATTTTTTTACGATTAATTTGGTACCACACACTTGGTATTTCGAGTCAAATTGTCGTTATGAACCGTATGTTACAATTTCAAATAAATCATATGCGAAAATGTCAACAGTTGACCTGTGATATATGTTATTCTATTCAGAGTGTAATTTTTTATCGAATAAAGTTAAAAAATTCCGAGGGTATCCTTTAAAAATCAAAAGTTATTAGTAGTCATTTCCGGTGAAACAGAAAGTGACAAAAAATAACTGAATACGTCAATCAATCCTAATTTTTGTCATATACTAACATACCAAAATTCGTTTTTTATCTGAAAAAATAAAAAATTTATAGGGGTGAGCCACTTTTGAGACGCACCCGGTAGAGTACAGAAAGACAGAAGAGTATAAAGATAGAAGAGTATAGAAATATAGAAGAGTATAGAAAAATAGAAGAGTATAGAGAGATAGAAGAGAGTATGGAAAAACAGAAGACAGAAAGACATAAGAGGATAGAAAAACAGAAGGATATAGAAAGACAGAAGAATATAAGAGTTTGGAAAGAGAGAAAAGTATAGACAGAACAGTATAAAAATATAGAAAAGTATAGGACAAAAGGGTACAGAAAGACAGAAGAGGATAGAATAACATAAGAGTATAGAAAAACAGAAAAGTAGAGAAAGACAGAAGAGTATAAAGACAGAAGAGTATAGAAAGACAGAAGAGTATAGAAATATAGAAGAGTATAGAAAGATAGATGAGAGTATAGAAGGACAGAAGGCAGAAAGACATAAGAGGACACAGAAAAACAGAAGGGTACAGAAAAACAGAAGAGGATACATAAGAGTATAGAAAAACAGAAAAGTAGAGAAAGACGGAAGAGTATAGAAAGACAGAAGAGTATAAAGATTGAAGAGTATAGAAATATAGAAGAGTATAGAAAGATAGAAGAGAGTATAGAAGGACAGAAGACAGAAAGACATAAGAGGACAGAAAACCAGAAGGGTACAGAAAGACAGAGGAATATAAAAACACAAGAGTTTGGAAAGACAAAAAGTATAGACAGAAGAGTATAAAAAGATAGAAGAGTATAGGACAAAAGAGTACAGAAAGAGATAAGACGATAGAATAACATAAGATTATAGAAAAACAGAAGAGTAGAGAAAGACAGAAGAGTATAAAGACGGAAGAGTATAGAAATACATAAGAGTATAGAAAAATAGAAGAGTATAAAAGGACAGAAGAGTACAGAAAGACATAAGAGTATAGAAAAACAGAAGAGTATAAAGACAGAAGAATATAGAAAGATAGAAAAGTATAGACAGAAGAGTATAGAAAAGCAAAAGAGTATAAGATAGAAGAGTATAGAAAGGGGTGTATAGAAAGACAGAAGAATATAGAAAGACAGAACAGTATAAATAATAGTAAAGACAGTAACAGTATAAAAAGACAGAAGAGTTTAGAAATACAGAAGATTATTATAGAAATGTATGACAAAGTAGATTGGTATTTACTTACTTTTTCCAGTAGTTCAGATCGATAAATCCACTGATGCTTTCGGTCCTTTCGTCCCTTCTTCTCGATTTGCCTTTACGTCTGCGACTTCTATCCTGTTGCGATACTAACGAGTCTTCGTTGTCACTAACTCCAGGACTACCGTTTCCGGGCGAAGTTATACTAGAAAATTAATAAAATTTAGTCTGCGCAGGGTCTTGGAGATGCTATAAATAGTTACAAGTCAAGGAATCTCAGGTATATAAAGTATCGAGTCAAAAAATGAACACCTACCTAGGACCATCTTCTGAAAGGAAATCAATGTCAGCAATGTCCATGTCTTCAGCTGCGTCACTCTTGTCAGACAACGTAGGACTGTATTCCCTAAAACAGAGCATTAAATTTGATAAAACTTAATTTTTAAAAATAATACACTTTAGTTGATAATAATTCTTCTAATTGATTTATCTGCAACATTGTATATACCAAACTGGTCAACGAAACTGCGTGATCTGGATTTTAACGTGTATGACAGTGAGGTATTGCCAGATTTTGATCCAAAATTTCAAACCGCACAAGTAGGCGTTTACGAAAAATGTTGCATCTAGGGTTGGAACTTTATTTTCCACAATTAGTTACTCATTTTACTACAGCTGTAATAGATTATATTTAGCTTAGATGTATTTCTGTAGTATACATGAAAATAGTTTATTTTTTCTACACACGTTAAAACCGGCAACACTGTATGCCGGCCTTTTTATTTTGGCTCACTGTCTGCCAACCGGTCATTTATATTTATCTCTGTCGCGTGCATTAAAATACAGACCACGCAGATCAAGTGTCCAGGATGGTATAGACAAACTGTATTTTCTATCATTTCTGAGATGTTGCCTGTCGAAATCCTCCCAGACTCGTAGGACAGACTTTAGCAAACTAAACAATCATAAAAATATGATTATTACTGGACTAATAGCGATAAATAATTATACTTTTGAAGTTATAGAGACAAATAGTATAGTTACACAAATATCTCTAAAAAATGCAATAACGCATAAAATTCAAGGTTGTAAAAAGAAATAAACAATAAAACTATAATAAGTGCGATGACAAATTATCAATGTTTATATTTTTTCTTATCGAAAAAATTAAGTAACTCAGCTTATCTAATCGACATGTACAAACCAAACATATTTATGTGAGTGAATAAACAGACTAAAGATTTATTTTTCTTAATTTTACAAAAAAAAATAAACTCAATAACTCAATATTCAAATTCTTCATTACCATATAAAGAATTTTTTTATAATCTTTCTCATAGGTCCGTTTATTGATCCACCCTGTATATTTTAGCAAAATTCTTACAAAATAACATATTATAAAAATTACCTGGCTATAATTCATAATATCATAAACAAATTAAAACACACCCATTAGGGATTCAAACAAAATTGCAGAGTAATAACTTTTCGTCCATAACTGTATAAAAACTGAGTAGTGATAAAATACAGAGTGTCCCAATATTCCGTGGACATATAGTTTTATGTCCACAGAATATTGGGACACCCATATATGAACAAATCATTTTATTGGGACTTTTTTAACTTATATTTTTTTTATAATTGTAAGGAAAATACTAAAAATAATAAACAAACTGGTTATTTACTATAACAATTTAAAAAAATACAACAATTGAACACCTTCGGTGATGAAAATACATAGAAACAATCAAAACCAACTCACCTTTCTGAAATGCTTCTTCTTTTTCACCTTGTCGTCCATCTTTTCCTCCGTTACCTTTTGTTTTCGTCTTCAGTTTGGTGAAGGACTTCATGCCGGGGGCCGCCCTAGCGTCCACCACCTGTTTGGGGTACCAAAGTTGCATTTTATAAACTTTAAACATGCTCGGATCGCGTTAAAACTGCGATCGAATCGGACAAGAAATCTCGGAACGACTTTTTTTGGCAGATTCCTGACAGATAACAAAACGCTGACAATCGCATTGTTGATTTTTTTCCGCAGGTAACTACGCGTACGTAAGAATTTCTGATTTTTTATAGTTTTTCGAAACATACAATAAAAATATGAGTTAATATGTTATATCTTTTACAATAATTATTTTTCGATCTATTAAAGTATTTAAACGTTACAAAAGCAAGTGTAACTTAGTACTTATTTGATGAATAGATATAGGGTATATTTAATATAGGTATACTTTTTTATAGCTTTTTAGGACAATTTTTTTATAATTTTTACAGTTATCTTTCGTTTTATCATAAGTTAAAAAAATGATTTTTTTTAATTTAAATCCATGATTAAAATAAAAAAATCCGTTGATTTAAATCATTGCACCCTGGTCCCTAGTCTATAGGTACCGGGTGTTGCATCGTCGAGCGGGACATAGGAAATCCCATGCAAATTTTAATGGGGTCAATTATTGGCTTCCCTAATTATTTTAGAGAATAATTCTATTTAGGTTTATTGAAGAGCACTAAAACCCACATTCAAAAGAATAACTTTCGATATTTTTGATTAGCCCGTTTACGAGTTATCGCCGATTTCTTTTTAAATATTTCTCCTTTCTTATGGCCCGGTATTTACTTATGAGCACCAGTCAAGGTAAAAGATAACTGTCAAATGAAGTTGTCATTTCAGAAATATATCCTATGAATATATCTATTTAGTGCTTTATTATTATTATTAAAAACTCATACCTACATAGAAAATATTAGTCATGAAATACACTACCAAAGAAAAAGTATTGATGATTAAATGGTATTATCAAGGAAATAGTTATCAAAAGGTGTCGGACATGTTTGCTGCTCTGTATCCGAATAGACCGACACCTGGAAAATCTACAATCCCAAGGAATATCCAGAGATTTGAGACCAAAGGTACTCTAATAAATAACTGCAGATCTGAAACAAGGCAGGAACAAAGAGAAGATGCAAGAAATGATACCGACTTTTAATGATACCGAAGTTTTATTGTGCGTGGAAGAGAACGATGGAAAGATCAGCACAAGAAAACTTGAGGATGAAATAGGAATAGATCACACTACAACGTTTCGAATTTTGAAACGACATAAATACTATTCCTTCAAATATGAAAAGCACCAAGAGCAACGAGATGGGGACGAAATACGGCGGCAGGCGTTTTGTTTTGATATGATGGAAAGAGCAAACACGGATAGGGAATTTTTAAAAAACATATGTTTTACTGACGAATGCACGTTTACCTTAAATAATGAACCCAATGTTCAAAATTATTGATATTGGAACAAAGAAAACCAACACAGGTTTGTCGAAACAAGGACGCAATATCCACAGAAAGTAAATGTTTGGGCAGGGATATTCGGACACAGTATTATCGGGCCATTATTTCTTACGCGAAATTTAAATGCAGAATATTATTGGAACTACTCGAAAATCATATTTAATCTACTTTACATGATACCGCTAGGGAAAATCAGGAAATTTGGTACCAAATGGATGGCTGCTCGGCACATAGTACCCCGGCTGTTCGGGAATATTTAGACAATAGTTTTAACGGAAACGCTATTGGCCTAAATCATACAGTAAATTGGCTAGCAAGGTCTCCTGATATTTCGGCAAATGATTTCTTTCTCTGGGGCCATTTAAAAAACAGGATATACAAGGATAAAAAATACCCAAATCTAGATTTTGAATGTGGGTTTAGTGCTCTTCAATAAACCTAAATAGAATTATTCTCTAAAATAATTAGGGGAGCCAATAAATGACCCCATTAAAATTTACATGGGATTTCCTATCTCCCGCTCGACGATGCAACACCCGGTATATGCAAGTCTACGTATTTACTTACATGTCTCCAATTTCTATCTGACCCCACTGGTAACTTCTTCCACCTTTTGACCAATAGCACGCAAGCATTGCAAATCTCTCCTTGCCTGGGCGACGACAGTTTGAAGCATTCCAAAAAATCATCCTCGTACTTTTTGCTATCGGTAAACCTAGAACTATGTCCAAAAAAGGGTTATATATGAAAAAATATGATAGAAAAGAGGGTAGAACCTGTATTACCTGCTAGATTTCGCTTTGCATATGCAACACCCCGTAGACGACCGGTAAACCTTAGGTCTATGGAAGGAGAACATGATTTTTTAAGGTGATGTGATTGAATGTAGGACCTGAAAAGAAAAAATTGTATAATTATTTTTTTCACTTATAATATCACAAGAGCTTAAATTATTTTCGGAAATTTTTTTGAGGGCACGAATATTTTGAAAATTATCCCGAGTCGAAGACGAGGGATAATTTTCCTAAAATATTCGTGCCCGAAAGAAAATTTCCAGGAATAATTTAAGCTTGCGTGGTATTCGGTAAGAAAATTTCACACCTAAATTTGAAAAAAAAATATTAATCCAACATGACATTTTAAAATAATTTCAATTTGTTAAGTTGGCCAAGGTATTGATGTTTTTGACATATTATGTGTTTTGTCATTTTTGTTTGCGATTCTGTCATTAAGTTATTACTAGTTTTAAAACGTCTGTACGTAGAGTAAGAAGTGTATAGCGAAATGTCGCGATTTGGAAAAGTAAACCAACAAGTCATTAAAGAAGAAATTGAAAATATAAAACCAGATAACACCCGAAAATCAAAATCAAGTGTATGGAAACAGTTTGTTGAATTTTGTGATGAAAAGTCGTATAATATTCATGAGTGTATGAGTGTAGTACAGCTGGCTACTATACTGGAGGACTACGCATTTAATATGAAAAAGAAAAATTTTGAAGATTATAAGGAAAGTGTGGTCAAAGTGATGTGGAACTCTACTGCTAAGCAGTTGCAAGAAATTTATTACGAAAAATATAAAATAAAATTTAATCCGTTTTCTGATGTGGAATTTGTGACCGCCAGAGCTGCACGCGATGCTAAGCGCAAAATACTACAGAGAGATTCAGCAAAAAGAAAAGTGAGTGCTTCAGCCTTAACCAGTGACGAATACAAAAAAATTATTGAAATGTGGGATGAAAATACTCCAGATGGGTTGCAGCGTAAATTTTTTCACATAGTTTCACATGAGCTGGCATGGAGAGGAGGGGAAGGACATTCTGCTTGTATCCAATACTTCAAAGAAGAAACTGATAATTTCGGAAACCCAAAAGGTCGGATAGAATATAATCCAATTTTCTCTAAAACCACACAAGGTGGTTCTAAAAAACTGTCGGATAGTAAATGGTTGATTAGAAATTTCGAAAATCCACAAATGTGTCCGGTTCGCTTGTTTAGAAAGTTGATGGAAAAAAGGGGAAATCTTATTCAAACCGACAGACTATTCTTAACACCAAACCCATACTGGAATCAACCCAATTCGAAAGGATGGTACAAGAATAGCCCAGTTGGTAAGAACATTGTATCTTCATGGTTTAAATCAGCAGCTTCAGATATAGGAATTGACACTAAAAAAGTTAAAATAACCAATCATTCTGCAAGAGCAACAGCTGTTTCGAATTTGGCCAAGAAAGGAGTTGGTGAACAACAGCTCATTAAAATTACTGGACATAGTAATAGTCAGTCGATCAAACCTTACTTACAGTTGGACGCTGAACATCATCAACAGATGATTGAATCCATGAGGAGCATTTCATCAAGTACTAGCCAGTTCAATCATGATCAGAGCACAATGCAAAATAAAACAGAAAATACCCAGATTCAAACCACCAATTCAAGCCAGCCTACAAACATTTACAATAATTGTGTTTTTAATATTAATAAAACCTATAATTACTAAATGTGTTTCGTTATTATTTTGCTATATTAGTCGATATCATTAAAGATTTGGCATTGAAGATAATTCAACATGAAATAAATTCTAAAAAAATCATATAGATATATCCATCATATTTCGTTAAATAGAAAAATACCAGCTTTAGTTAAATAAAGGCGGCAGAACTATATTTTTTAGAACATGGCAATTTCGAAGAAATTCATATGTAGGTATATCTAACATATTTCCTTAAATAAAAAATATTACCAACCTTAGTTACATCAAATGCTAAAACTCAAATGGGTAATATTTCAATATATAGACATTGTAGTTCATTCACATTATGATTGTAGATCTTATGTTTACCTTTTCAACTGTCAAAAATTTCCACTAAAGTTTTCAGGCGCCTCGAAAAAATTTCCGAAATTTTTTCAGTTGGTTATGGTAACTAGTCAACATTAAAGCATGTTATTGGTTGAAAAGTAGAGGTGTGAAATTTTCATTGTATAATACGTGTGATTTATAGTATACAACGTTTTCTTATTTCTTTTAATAGAAATAATTATAAATAATATAAAATAAATAATTGTAAAGTTAAACAATATTATTTATTTACTTATAATACAGAGGTCTAAAGGCTTCTCTACACATAACGTTTTACCTGACAGTTTTGCAATGCGGTTATATCGATTACCAAAAAACTTTTAGTTACGTCATCGAGGGCACGATTATTAAATTAAATGTTACCACCAACCGTGGACATATTCGGCGCCGGGCTAACTAACTGGAATTTAAATTTCCCGCTGGAAATTCAGTTGGTAGCTCTGTTCGCGACCTTATTAAGAATACTTTGAGCTGAAAACCGATAGTAATGGCCCTTTATGTCCTTTAAAGTAGCCGTTAAAGAAATGAGTTTTGTTGATGTAAATAATAACTTAATGATTAACTTAATAATTAATTTACGTTATGTTTTATTTGAACGTTTTGACTGAAGAGGTAAGACTGACAGGTAAAACGTTAGGTGTAGACGTAACTTTAGCAAATCTTAGACATACGTTTTTTTTTTATTTAACACAGTTATTTTTATTTTCTATTCGTTATTAAAAGATATTTATAGTAATTGGTTGTCTCTTTGATTATTATAAACAATAAAATTTAGTAAACAACGTACGTGTTTCTCTGCGAATTGAAAAACAACAAAACCAAACATACGTGACTTTTCAGTTCTATTTTTATTTCGTTTTGTATTATTTGTTGATGCGTCGAACAACGTGGATTTAAAAATAACACTTTAAAGCCAATAATCGTAAATTCGAAGAAAAATAATAATCACTAGGAGGCGCCATTCATTATAAATTATTTAGACAATGAATATTGTTAGATGTAGTGTTGGTGAAATAAAAAATATTCAAGAAAAATATACCGGGTGCGTCTCAAAAGTGGCTCACCCCTATAACTTTTTTATTTTTTTTTTAGTTAAAAAAAAACGAAATTTGGTATGTTAGTATATGACATAAATGAGGATTGATTGACATATTGAATTTTGTTGATTAATGACTACAACTTTTGATTTATAAATGGCACCCTCGGTATTTTTTTACTCTATTAGATTGAAAATGATACTCTGAATCGAATGACATATCATATGTCAACTTTTAACACATTCGCTCAAAAACAAATTGTATTTTAAATTGAAATGTAGAGTGGCGATTGCTGTGTTAAAAACACTAATTTTTAATCAAGGAGCCTTGGAAGAATAGATTTGATCGTCTAATATTTTTAGTGTCTTGTCCTGACCGGTTAAAAGATGCCCAAATTGTATTTTTAATTATATCCCAATTTTTTCAAATGGAACGAGGGTGGTTCATTAGCATATTTTGAAAAAGCATTTTTTTAGGAATAATTTGATACCACACACTTGGTATTTCGTGTCAAATTATCGTTATGAACCGCATGTTACAATTTCAAATAAACCATATGCGAAAATGTCAAAAGTTGACATATGATATGTCATTCTATTCAGAGTGTCATTTTCTATCGAAAAAAGTAAAAAAATACCGAAGGTGCTATTTAAAAATCAAAAGTTGTAGTCATTTCCGGTCAAACCGGAAGTGACAGAAAACAACTGAATATGTCAATAAATCCCAATTTATAATATATTAATATATATTCCAACATACACACCAAATCTCGTTGTTTTATCTGAAAAAATAAAAAAGTTATAGGGGTGAGCCACTTTTGAGACGCACCCGGTATATATGTACGTTAAAGTATAATTGATATACAGTATGTCCCCGCATTGTCTTTACAAGAGGAAAAACTTTTTTATTATTGTTATTTTAGAGAAAATTAAAAAAAAAATATGGTTGTTAAAGCATCACATTTTCCGATAACTATTATCACCCCTTCTGTAGCTTCTAAATAAATTTTGTGCTTCATTAACATTTTAAAAAAAGCAAGAAATATGACGTTAATTCTAAACCAAAAATTCTACCAATAACAATCTACCAAAGAATGAAAATGAAATTATATTACCATAGAAAAGCGTTTTGATTTTTAGGACTTTGTTTTTTTTAATTTGCTCTAAAAGGGTATGGAAATTTGGAAAAGTATAAACGGGTTTAACCATTTTAGAACAAGCAATTTTTTATGAAGAATGCATTTTTTCCAAAATGCCAATAATAAAAAAGCTTTTCCTCTTGTAAAGACAATCCGGGGACATACTGTATAACTACTGTATAAGACAAAATCAGTTCCGATTTTCCTGTGTAGCGTCCAGCCTAACATCACTGGTCAGCTAATTGGAATAAGCCATGGAAACGCTTGACCCATGCCTGGCCATCGCTGGGTATTATTTATACGTGTCGGTAGCCTCGGTACCAGATCTAAAAAACGGCTCTCTGGGCTATTTTTAGCCCGTCGGGCAAGACAAGACACGAGGAAAGTGGACCATTGACTCGAGATTGTGGAATTTTGTTTACTGTTTACGCTGCACAACTCTTTGTCAATGCAATAGCTCCGAACGCACGTACGCATACAAACATCACACATCGGTACTATTCCACTTATTAGGATGCATTTTGTTTGTACTTATTCTCATTGAAGAGTCCAGGGGGAAAACATGATAAGCGCCATTTTACAGGAGAGCCCTGGACCGGTTGGTGATTATCAAGTTCTTTCCCTGTATATATATACAGGGTACCAAAAAATAGTGTATCTAACCACAGTGGGTGATTCTACAGATAAAAATAAAGCAAAAAGTTCCTACGAACATATCTCCTAAAATGCTTCCCGAAAACGTTACAGCCCTCGAAAGATTAAATAAAAATAATATATTTTGTTTATTTTTCAGAACATTGGTAAACCGTTTTTCCCGTGGTACTCTTACACACAATTTAAATTAGGATAATATTGATTTTGCCCCCCACGTGTCAAAAA